CCCCAGATTGGATGTGCCTCCCCTCTCTACGTCAGTCTTTTCTTGTTCTGGTATACTAAATTATCACAGCCCGGTTGTGTGGTCCAAATGACTAATACTCTACTCGCGAGACGAGAGAAAGTGCACATTCTGACAACGCAGTAAGCTGCAGAGGTGAAGAATAGGTAATGGGTGAGAAGATGGTTTTTGTCACTGTCATAGTCTGGATTACAATGAAATGTCAGGTTGAGGTGATGATTGGGAAGCTTTATGAGTAGTCAGTATCAAAATTTGCAGTACTCCAGGCTTTCTGGTGATTCTCATGCTTATGGCTAAGGATCAGCTAGCTCACATGAGATTACCCCAAGCATCCTGCAAACGGGAATTCTAATATTTTGTTGAATTTGAGTAAAAGAAAATAGTAATAAGAACAAAACAAATATTTTGTATCTCGGAAATAAAAATAAAAAAAAAGAAATGTAAAGAATTTATCTATTCTCCGGTCCAGCCAGTCAAACAACTGGTGCTGTGCAAAGCCTGATTCTGATACACCAATACTATCTCGCAGTCATTGTCCGCGGTAAAAGATTACTGTAGAAAGCTCATGACTTTCCCTCCTCCGCGGTTTAGTGAGGCAAGTCGCTTCAATAACGAAGCGAAACTATGAGAAGAAATAACCTAAATAAAATTAAAAAATGTGGCGGTTTGGTGCGGGTATCAAAAATAATAACTCGGTGTTGACAAGAACTGTATATTTAAAGGCAAGTTTTTACATGCGTACTCAAAAGTAGACTGACTTTGTCCGCCGGGGAGCGTACGAGTTTATATACCTTCGTTTATCAAAGGTTCGAGAATTGTCCTGAAATTTCGTGAGGGACAAGGACAGAATGATGTTTGTCTTGAATTCCGACGTTTGGAATATTCGAGACGCTACGAAATAAATTAATCTATTGTGGCTCGCGCCACAAAAAAAAATACTATAATACAAGTTATCCAATTCCTCTGGTCGTATTTCCTCAAACCTTTCTCGGCCCGGAGTGAGTGGCTGCACCATTCCGAGCAGTTCAACTCTCATCACAGGCCGGATGCTTACGCCTGGCCGCCAGTCAATAGTCCAGCCAGCGAGGAATCCCCGAATGATACCGCGAATTGCTCACGCGCAAAGGTAGAATTTGAAAGGTAGGGGTAATTTGAAAGGTAGGGGGAATTGATAGGAACTGCAAGAAAAATGAGGATGATAATAATAAAGGAAAAGATTTTGTGTGTCACACTGGTCTGAGGAGCAACAGTTGACACGACTGTTGTTCTCCTTTGATGCTCTCCGGAATCTCCGGAGAGTGTTTCTCCTGGCCTAAACGGTGAACAGGCTGCTTCTTCTTCAGACTATTAGTTTTCTCGGAAAGCCCCCACAGCCAGGTCCAACTTTCGTTCAAATGGTCCTCGCACTCTTGGATGTCTTGATGGTCTACTCCCACGGTTGCGCGGCTACGCTCTGTCGACTTCGGTTTTCTTCTTCGGACAACCGTCCACTCACCAACTACCTCGAAGTTAATAGTTGTTCCTCCGGTATTCGTTTCCTGAACCGCCGGTGTGTGCTCCGCGTCCTTTCTACACCAGTCCCTGGATTCATTACAGTCTCTCGCATCTGAAACTACTCCCTGATTACCATCGCTGTAGCTTAATTCATCACTAATTATTGAAGAGATCTTTTTCCAGCGAACTGAGGTTGACTCTTCTTTCCTCTCGTAAGTATCTGCTCCTTCTGTAGGGCTGCCAGGATGATTAGCAGGCTCTCCTACACCTCTGTCGATGAGTTTACCTAGAGGAGAGGTGAAATCGTGCCTGACTTGGATGAGAGAGGGATGTTCAATGAACTGTGAGTTCGGTAGCGGTGCTACTTCGGCCCTTGGAGGATGGATGGAATCCTTCGATCTGTTCAGCCTTGGTCTCCGGTAGTGAGCGTTGCCCCAGTTTGAAGTTCTATTTTCCTGCGATGACCGGAAAATATCGGAACTGGTTGACTCGATTCCAATCAACTGGATTTTCTCTGTCATCCTCTCTCCAATTTCTAGAGAGAGGTACAGTCAGAAGATTGTGGCTGACTGTCCTACTCCATGTCGAGTCACTACGCTTCCAGTGTCTTTTCCTCCAAGAGCTTAAGGAGGCTGGCTCGGATATGGCCCGTGGTCGCGTCTCTGTGTTCAGAGATATTGCCTTAGATCGTATTCTCCAATTCTCTGTTCGTTGTGGTGTCTTCTCCGGATCCGGCCTGGAGGACTCGACATTCCTCAGTGAGCCTCTTTTCTGAAGCTCCGAGGGAACTGATAAGAATCGAGGACGCCGCGGTGACGTGAGCAGTTGCTGAGTATCTGAAATTTGCTCACGCCAGTCTTCAGAACTTTTCCTCGAGGCGGTGGTACTTTCTCCTCCGTAAGATGAACGGGAGGTGAGTGAGCTAGTGGAACCAAATGATGCGGGTGATGATGATGTTGCTTAACTGCTGCTATGCTCTGCAGCTCCGGTTGATAGCCTGCTCGCGGGTTTCTCTAGTACTGGAAGAGTATCACCCTCCGTACTTTTGGCAGCAAAAGGTCTGAACACTGGTCTCGTGGTGAAGGCGACCTTCATTTACCTCGAGCATAACCCTCGTTGCCCATCGCGCTTGCCCGCGCTTGCCCGCGGAGTTTTCTCTCGCGTTCTGGATTAGTGACGGTGTTCTCGGTTCATGAACCCTCGAAATATTAACGACAATCTGTTTGCTGCTTCTAAAAGACCTTGCTGACGATGGGGCAGAGGAAGAGCGCCGCAACTCCTGAATCCTCAGCTCCTCTTCTGATGTGCGAATACGCCAATTGTCGAAGTTACCCTCAGATGATGTCGTACTCTGGGCTCTCGACGCTGTCTCGGATGTCCTAGAGTCCACAGACTTAGGAACGAGTAACGCGCCCGTGGTTTCCTCCGGTGCTAGGGAAACGTGATCTCTGGGGTTCCTCTCAGCAAGATTTTCGACTGCCGATTTTGTGACGAGGACTGTCTCTGCGTCAACAATCCTTATCTCTGAACCCTTCCAGGAAAGTTGAGCTCTCTGGTTTCGTGGAACATCCGTCGTGGAAGTAATAACATCGTCCTCTGAGGAAGTACTCTGAGATTGTAGTCTCCTAGTGGTGGGGTCGCTAGCCGAACCGGTCTTCACCAGGCCTACCGTGGCAGGGGTGGTGATCATCCTCGGTAACAGCATCCTGACCGAAACTACCTCTGATGCCGATTTCACCGAAATCTTAGCTTCATCACCCATCGTAGTGGACGTTACCTCGAGAACTTGAGTGTCTTGCAGAAATATTTGCATCGGCTCCGGTGAAGGGAGCTCTGGTGTATTGACAAGGATATCCTCTTCGCCCATCAACATCATCGTAGCATTTTGCTCTCTGGATTTCTCCACCTTCGATCTCGGTGGTTGTGCAGGTGTAGTACTCTTTGTCTCTGAGGCTGCTGGACAAAGTACTGTCATCACCTGTGGCTCCATTATTGATGCATCCAGCAATTAAATCTCTAAGGATAGAAATGACATGAGATCTTCGTCTTCGGATCTCTCTTGGCTCTGTCTCTGGTATCTCGATGTCAATTAGTAGTGCGGTTGGTGGAATGATCGACGGAATGGCCATTAAGATGACCTGTCTGCCATCTGTTGACGCTGGCCAGATTATCTCCGGTCGGGCTCCAGGAAGTTCAGTCCCTGAAACTTCAGAAGTTTCGACGTCGATGCTTGACTCCTTCATGATTTCATGAATCCTCACGAGTAGCTCCTCTTGAATCTCTGCTACGGAACTCTCAGTGCCTTCCAGATCAGACGATATCTTAGCAGAATGCTTAGTTGCTGACCGCTGCTGCTCCGTCTCCGGTGTTGGTGGTCGCTCATTGGTAATTTTTGGTAAACTCATGGAGGCCACTTTCTGTAATGATTCTTGAGATATAACTGGAGCTTCATGTTCAGTGCGTCGTGGAGTTCCCTTCTCCTTTGTAGCCGACGGTACGCCACTGGTCTTGCCTGGAGTCCTATCTTCGCGATTAATACTCGCTGTCTTTTTCGAGACCCTATTTTCTCCGTTGTGAGCTCCGGTAGACGCTCGTGGGGAATGTGATCGGCGGGTTCCGTGTTGTTCACTCACTTTCAAGGGCGGAATCGGATCTTCGAGAACAAAAGGAATTCGACCACACATAGTCATGAATTCGTTCAAGGTGGTGTATCTCTCATCAGTGATGAGTCATCACAAGTTCTCCTGATGAGTAGCTCAGGTGTGAAATATCCGTTTTGAGCCCACGCAGCCATTTCTTTCGCACTGAAAGGAACCTGGATATCTCCTTGGGGGTCTCGATACAGCCATTGATTCTGCGCTCCGGTTGCCACTGACTGGTCCTTCGTCCCGAGTGAAGGTGGTTTCATGTCCTCTTGGGGTCTCAGTAGTGAAGGCTGAGATATACCACTCGTTGTCTGGCTTCTCGCTTTCTGCATGACTTCTCCGCCGGGCTTCACTGCTGCTCCTGGAATTTCTGGAAGCTCGCATTTCGTGGATTTGGGAATGACTGGCGTCCTAGGCGACAAGATATTCCCGATGTCTTGCTCGGAAGTTGGGAGGATTCCGGTCCGTGGTCCCACCGCCAGCGTTGCCGCGACATCTCGAGTAGTGAACTCTGATGGGATCTGGCTCAAATACTCTTGATAAGCCGTCAGGGCCATACGCGCAAACTTCACTCCATAATCTTCCTCAGGAGGCTCCTCCAATGGAAAGAGCGATCAGTATGGGAGACAGAATCCTTTCGAAATCTCCGGCTCGATCCCAGAACTTGAGAATGTCTGCATGACGTTGATCACACCTGAGTGCGATTCGATCACGCGGTAGTATTCCCTCGTTGTGTCACGCCTATTTCTTCTCTACGGACATCTCCGATTGGGGTCGGATTAGGAGAATGGTAGAGGAGAAATGGTTCAGGATAGGTAGACGGGAAAGAAACGATTGAGCAATCCGTAATATCTCCCGCGAAACGAAATGACCAACCGAAATATATATAATCGACAGACTGAAGAGAACACCAACTATCTAGGCCAGAGACAATCGGAGCTCGGGAGAACGAAAAGAATTTCGGATTCTACGTCTTTATTTATACCCGTCAATAAAAATGAGTAAAGTTCGTATTTCCGAAATATTCACCAAACAATGAAAGGAATTTAGTATTACCGGCAATTCCTGAAGGTGAAATCCTTCGTATCTCCGGTGAACTCAACAAAATGGATGAATCTCGTAGCCCCGGGAAATCTGACAAAAATTAAGAAATCTCAGATTTCCGGTGCATTCACCCAAAATGGATGAATTGCGTATCTTTTGAAAATCCGAC